GCCTTCTCAATTTTAGCAGGTTTTACACCTGCCCTCCAGCTACACCTTTGGGTGATGGATGACATGATGATCTTGATATGAGGGTGTAGAAGGTGAAGCCGGTGCAGGTCCTCCATCATGCTGACCAGCTTCACACTGCTGACCACCTCATATCATTGCCGCCACAGTGGATGAGAAGGACATCAGGAGCTGCTCTTCCTCGCAGGGAGTGGAAAAAGAAGGGGAGAAGGTCTTTCCACCTCAGTCCGCCCCAACCAAACCAGGAGACACAGACATCAGGGAGGCCAAGGTTGTCTCTGAAGGTCTCTGCAGCTCTCTGGGCACCACGCCTCACGTAACTGTCTCCAATGATTCAAATGGCTATGGAGAAAAAAATAACAGGTTTGGCCTAGCTGTTTAAAGTACAAAACCATACATGAAGTGGTCAAGACAGGTACTTGGAACTTACACTTGCTGCTTTGTGTAGCCAACGTTGAAGACACACAGGCTGCCATGGTGACCTTTTAACAGATCTCAGAAAAAAATGTAATAAAAGAATGAAACTTCAAAACTCCCATACCTCATTTCATGATTGCTAATCAGCTATGGCTTATCTATTGTTTGGATCACAGTGAGTTACACTAATTCTAATATATTTTATTTCTATTATACATACATACTTTTTCACTTATTTTCACATGACTGTTATCAGGCTCTTTTGTTCTGGTTCTCATGATAAATCCATTTTTTCCAGTAAGTTATCTTGTGCTTACTTCGTCTGTATAATGTCTCTTTACTTTTGGTGAATTGTACTGAGTCCAGAATAAGGGCTACTTGGCTTTACAAGATACACACAAGTATTAAGTTTTAGAAATATCGTCGTCGTCGTCTTCCTTCGCTTATCCGGGTCTGGGTTGCGGGGGAAGCATCCCAACTATGGAGCTCCAGACGTCCTCTCCCCGGCCACCTCCACCAGCTCCTCTGGCAGGACCCCAAGGCGTTTCCGGACCAGATTGGAGATGTAACCTCTCCAACGTGTCCTGGGTCGACCCGGGGGCCTCCTGCCAGCAGGGCATGCCTGACACACCTCCCCAGGGAGGTGTCCAGGAGGCATCCTGACCAGATGCCCAAACCACCTCAACTGACTCCTCTCGATCCGGAGGAGCAGCGGTTCTACTCCGAGTCCCTCCTGAATGTCCGAGCTCCTCACCCTATCTCTAAGGCTGAGCCCGGCCACCCTACGGAGGAAACTCCTTTCGGCCACTTGTATCCGCGATTTTGTTCTTTCGGTCATTACCCAAAGCTCATGACCATAGGTGAGGATTGGGACGTAGACCGACCGGTAAATCGAGAGCCTGGCTTTCTGGCTCAGCTCCCTCTTCACCACGACAGATCGGCTCAGCGTCCGCATCACTGCAGATGCCAAACCAATCAGTCTGTTGATCTCCCGATCCCTCTCACCCTCACTCGTGAACAAGACCCCAAGATACTTAAACTCCTCCACTTGAGGTAGGACCTCCCTCCCGAACCGAAGTTGGCAAGCCACTCTTTTCCGGTCGAGAACCATGGTCTCAGATTTGGAGGTGCTGATCCTCATCCCAGCCGCTTCACACTCGGCCGCAAACCTACCCAGCAAGAGCTGAAGGTCAGAGCTGGATGAAGCTAGGAGGACCACATCATCCGCAAAAAGCAGAGACGAGATTCTCCTGCCACTAAAGTCGACACACTCCACACCACGGCTGCACCTAGAAATTCTGTCCATAAAGGTAATGAACAGAACCGGTGACAAAGGGCAGCCCTGGTGGAGTCCAACCCTCACCGGGAACAGGTCCGACTTACTACCGGCTATGCGGACCAAACTCACGCTCCTCTGGTAAAGGGACTGAATGGCCCTTAACAGAAAGCCACCCACCCCATACTCCTGGAGCGTCCCCCACAGGGTGCCCCTGGGGACACGGTCAGAAGCCTTCTCCAAATCCACAAAACACATATGGATTGGTTGGGCAAACTCCCACCCTTGCAAGGGTATAGAGTTGGTCCACAGTTCCACGGCCAGGACAAAAACCACATTGCTCCTCCTCAATCTGAGATTCAACTATCGATCGGACCCTCCTCTCCAGTACCTTGGAGTAGACCTTTCCAGGGAGGCTGAGGAGTGTGATCCGCCCATAGTTGGAACACACCCTCAGGTCATCCTTCTTAAAGATGGGGACCACCACCCCGGTCTGCCACTCCACAGGAACTGCCCCCGATGACCACACAATGTTGCAGAGACGTGTCAACCACTACAGCCCTACAACATCCATAGCCTTGAGATACGCAGGACGAATCTCATCCACCACTGTGTAGTTGTTTGACTACCTCAGCAACTTCTGCCCCTGAGATTGGACAGTCCATCCCCAGGTCTCCCGACTCTGGTTCCTCCTCGGAATGTGCGTAGGTGGGATTGAGGAGCTCCTCAAAGTATTCCTTCCACCGTCTGACTATAGCCCCAGTTGACATCAGCAGCTCCCCATACCCACTGAAAAAACAGTGTGAGCGAGTTGCTGCCTTCCTTTCCTGAGGCGCCGGACAGTTTGCCAGAACCTCTTTGGAGCCAATCGATAGTCTTTCTCCATGGCCTCACCAAACTCCTCCCACGCCCGAGATTTTGCCTCGGCAACTGCCACTGCTGCACCCCGATTGGCTATCCGGTACCTGTCTGCTGCCTCCGGAGACCCACAGACCAGCCACGCCCTGTAGGTCTCCTTCTTCAGCCTGACAGCTCCCCGAACCTCTGGTGTCCACCAGCGGGTACGGGGGTTGCCACCACGACTGGCACCAGCCACCTTGGGACCACAGCTAGCAACAGCCGCCTCAACAATCGCAAAGTGGAACAAGGCCCTCTCGGAGTCAATGTCCCCCACTGCTCTCAGGACAAGGTCAAAGCTCTGCTGGAGGTGGGAGTTGACGACCGTCTTGACAGGTTCTTCTGCCAGGCGTTCCTAGCAGACCCTCACTATGCATTTGGGTCTATATATATATATATATATATATATATATATATATATATATATAGTTCTGGCTCTGCCATACATTTTATTTATGGGTGCTGTCTCTTAAAGAGAATCAGGAAGTTGAGCGTTCAGGCCACACGGTGCAGCGATCACGCCAGTGTGAAGCAGCTTACAGAAAGCGAGGTGTTGTGTTAACAGCTGTGGGTTTTCAGTTCAGAAAGGGCATTCCTTGTAAGTATTACCATAACATAATGTTTATATGAATAATTAGTTATACAAATGGCAAAGTGAGTTCATCCAGGATGTAAGGAATTATTTACAAGTATTATTTAAAGGGCATCCTTAAATTGTTTGTGGCTGCAATGAAGCATGGTTATGATTTATTTTCTGACTTCTGTGCGTTTTTACTTATTGATGCAAATGCAGTGTATTTGTTGTTACAGTTTCACACCTGCCATATAAAGTACAAGGTCCAAACCACCCAGGCGTCTGAGACTTCTTGTGTGGAGGTGTTTAACTAAACGGATAGTGGAAAAGGTTTCCACGAGGCCGTAAAATATATATATGCCGATGGTGCGTGTGTGTGTGCGTGTGTGTGTGTGTGTGTGTGTGTGTGTGTGTGTGTGTGTGTGTGTGTGTGTGTGTGTGTGTGTGTGTGTGTGTGTGTGTGTGTGTGTGTGTGTGTGACAGTACATATTAGTTTCTCTTATTAAAGCACGTAACACAGAACATGTGTTGTCAGTCGGCTCTGTGTTGCTGTGATAACATCAGGCTGAGGTTGGATTCTGGGAAAATGCAGCAGAAATCATGACGGAAGGGAAAAACTGTCACATTTTAATTCTATATCACCTGGAATATCTGGACATTTTGCTGGAGTAAAATTACTGGAACATGTCACACTGAGACAAAACTTTATCCTCAGCATATACAGCATATTCCTCAGCTGAAACAAGAGGATTGTGAACTTATCTGATTTGCTTCAAGTCATCAAATTGGTGTAAAACCCAAGGCATCATATCTGGAAAAGGAATCCAAACATCTCCTCGTTCTGTCAGAATCCTGAAATTCCTGAACTTGATATAAATCCCCAAAACAGGAGAGTGAGTCTCCTAGGAATGTGGATGTCACATTTCCAGGAAATAATATGAAATGTTTCCCACCTGATGAACATTGCTGCACGATGAGCAGCAGAAGCCATTTGAGAAGCTCAGTGTTCAATCGAGGGCAATAAGCCGTTCAATGCACTTGATCCCAGTCCTGAACTCCTGTCAAAGCAATAAAATGAGATAATTCCTGCTGATTTATCTGTGAGGAAAGATGCTCACAAATCCAGCTCCTCCGTTGGAGGCTGCATCGGAGTCATCTCAATCCTCTCTGAAGGATCTCACGACTGAGGATTAGGGATATTGAAGGATTTTAGTTTGGAATCTCATTAAACCTTTAAGAACAAAAGTGCTTTTATCACTCCTTTGGACTGGCGAGTCGTTAGAAGTAAACTGTTTCTAACTTAGAAACTAAATAAAATATCAGCATCGATACTGCAGGGTTGTCACTCATGTCAACTGTTTATCAAAACACACAAAAGATGTCCTCCTGCATCACTCACAAACAGGATTTTACGTCTTTGCCCGACGTTTCTCAAGTTTCTCACAGAATAGAAGCTTTTAGGACTGATGAATATTCAAAATGGGGTGCTTTTATTTTAGTTTTTAAAGGGCCTGTTAATGTGCAGTTCTAACGCAGATTTTATTTTTAGTCATCTAAGTTCATCTCAGACAGCTCTATGAGGGGGGTTTATGTTAAATGTATTAGTCTTTGTTCAGCGCAGAGCTGCTAAGACGTTCAGTCACATAAACCTGAACAAAAACCATACAGAACAACTTCTCTGGATCTGGGACACAGGAGGATGGTTCTGGCTTGAAGAAAGATGGAGAGAAGGATGAGAAGAAGGGAAGGGAAGAGTAGATGAAAAGTAATTTAAAAAAAGAAGGGGAATGAAATGAGGGGAAGTAGCCGAGGAAATCGTAGCTGAAAACATTTATTTGCTTTTGCAGAAGAACTAATGACACAATACATAACAGTTTTGTGGATATTTATGTGGCAAGGTGGAGAATCGAGGGCCAGGGCAGGATTCGATTCCCAGACTCCCGGGTGAGAGTCACGTGCGCTTACCAGTCAGCCAAAGGGACACCCCTTAGCCAAGTAGCCAGGGCGCATAGTCAACCGGGACACTGTGACAGGACGCTCACACTGCCACTTTTAGTTGACTCCATTTCCATTTACGAGATTTTCACGGACTTCAGTGAGGAGTCCAGCATCACAGCCTCTAGACCGTTTGCTCCTCCTTTGCCCACAACATAATTGTAGAAAAGATAATACATAACACCAGTGTTCAAAGGAGCTATACGTGTGTATATATTCACTGTGAGTCAGTCCTAGTTTGAGATTACGGTGAAGGCAGCTTTTGGAAAGAAACATTTGTTTTGTCCTGACACACCTGTAGCACCTTCCTGAAGGCAGCAGATCAGAGCCAGGATTGGAATGGTCCTTGATGATATTCCTTGCTGTGCTGAGGCGACAGGAGGTGTAGATGTCCATCAGAGAGGGGAGCTAATGATCTCCTGTGATGCTGATTCCACTCTCTGGAGCCTCACCCTATCTGCCATGGTGCAGTTGCCATACCAAGCTGTGGTATAGTACATCAGCTGGCCCTTCATGGACGAGCCTAGAAGGTGATTAGCTGCTTGTGGTCCAGATTTTGTTTCCTGAGGACTGTTGGGAAGGAAAGTCGCTGCAGGGTCTTCTTAACTGATAGGGGTCAAAGTCTGGGGAAGATAGTTCTGGATGTGCAGGAGCATCCGTGTCTCAAAGAACTTCATGATTACCAGGGTGAGGGTTACAGAATGGTAATCACTATGGCGATGGGAGTCTTCTTCAGCATCGGGCTCCCTTACAGCGAGTGGGGTGGTGTTGAGAGTGGGAGCAGGGCTGGAGAGGAGTGCTGCTGTTGTGATGTTAGCATTTAACGAAGCAGTCCAGCTCCTCCACCTGATAAACAAGAAGTAAAAATAAGAAGAAGGAACCCCCAAAGACAGATATGTGTTAGTCTTTTGTCTTATTTTAGTTTCAGTAAAGCACACAGTGAAAAAGACTTAACCTCCTGTGTCCCTGCACCCACATGTACAAATATTGGCTTCTTGCACTAGAATATTTTATTCTCTTCAACTTAGACTTTTTTTTTATTATTTAGAAACATTTGATATTGAATTGAAGGGAAAAATATATTTTATTCCTGTTTTTCTAGGAAACTTGTGAATATTTTTATTAAATTTTATTTTACATCACAGAAAACACAAAGTAGGATCTCAGGAGGTTTGAAAATCTCTAAATTTTACCAAGATATTTTATAAATTCAATTATAAAAGACATGGAACAGCTCGTTACTGTTTAAATGTAATTAAGCACAATTTGATGTTTTCTGTCTGCAGATTCAGCTGAAACTATAAACTAATGAAGGAAGTCTGATTCATCACACGTGTGGTTGGTTCAGAGCCAAAACTGAATATAAGCAACACTTCTGATCAAGTCCAAAGTCATAAGATTCTGTTAGTAGGGTGACGGTCTGACAACACTAAAATGATGCTTATCACGCTTTCTGAGCTCATTGATGAGGCCGGCTCAGTGGTCTAGTGGTAGAGTGTCAGCCCTGAGACTGGGAGGTCAGAGATCAAATCCCAGTTGGGTCATACTTTATGAAAACAGGACTCAATGACTCCCTGCTTGACACTCAGCTGTAAGGTGTTGGATTGGGGGCTAAACCACCAAATAGTTCCCGAGAGCGGCCACAGCTGCAGCTCGCCGCTCCCCACGGTGATTGGTCAGATGTGGAGATGAATTTCACCATTTTGTGTGACAACTATGGGACTTTAATCTTAAAATATTTCATTAAAAGTCAACAAAGTCTAACATTGATACAGTAAATTACTAATTTCTCACTATTTACCCATAAAATTGCTGATGGTGGAAGATAAACACATCTGTTTCATTCCAAACTCATCCTCACATGTTATGCATGATTTTGAAAATACCACCCACATGTAAATACTAATGTTTGGTCATAAAAACTAAAATTCCTCACCTGAGTCATTCTGACAGAAGACTCCCAACAGAAAAACACAGAAGAGATTAATATGTTTTAGCTGACAATAAGTCATTTAATGCTGACAAATGGTGCATGCAGCTTCTCATTCCTTAAATAACCATGTGACACGGAATGACAATGCCAGGATTCATCCGGATCAGACTGTGGAAAACTGGTTCAGGGAGCACGATGAAGAGTCGTTTTCACGCGCGGATCGATCGGCCAACACCAGTCTGAAGAGGGCATGCAGCAGATGGACATAATGTTATCAGTGAAATTCATTTGCATGCATAGCACACACACACACACACACACACACACACACACACAACTCTGAATGGAAGTAAATGTACCTTGTCAAATGTTTACCATACATTGTCAGGTCGTGGGACGTGTGTTGTTTCTGCAGCCGATGTATATCAGGAGTTTGTCCTGTAAACAGACAGAATAACCCTGTGAGAACTTTTACAAACGTCACTTAGAAAACAATTAAAATGCAGTAAAAACAATGATTTCAAAAATACACTAACAGTGTCTCATTTGTCCCGTTTTTACTTAACCCAAAATTTAAAAAATGGTACAGAAATATGCTTCTTTTTTGCTGTTCTCCTAAATACCTAAAGATATATGATCCGATGCAAAAACAGGAGCCCCTGTTCTCCAAATGTGGTGTTTTGGGAGAATCTCAGGAGATGTTCTTTGTGGTTTTGAATGGAACAAAATCTATTTGGTGTAGATGTTTGAAATATTTCACTAATAAAAAGGCATCGTAAAGTTAAGACGTTCCACAAACATAACCTCTGAGCGTCACCTTATTTAGTCAAGAGCTTTGATTTAGGAAAGAAATGGTTAAATCCAACATCATAAGATTTCATTTGGCTCTTAAACCATATCTGATGTCTGATAACGGAGAAGGGGGGTCAGATGGAGTGGCGCTGCTTCTATCAAAGCCCCACTGGCCCCGAACCCATTAAGTCAGTCGCTCCTCACTAACTGAGCTCAAATCCATCATGAGATTACTTTGAGGAATTCTCCCTTTGACCAAAATAGGAAAGTAAGTCCCGCAGAAATACCTGAGATTTGAATCCATTTGACTTTACGTGCTTTACTGTGAGAGCTGACTGCAGATCTTAAATAAAACCCATTAGAGTTTATCTTATTTTGGATTGACTTACAAAGAACATATTATGGGATTAATTTGAGTTATTTTTCTTCTTTAAAACAAAATAAAAACCAACCGGTTTACGTGGCTCGTCTGCACGATATTTGTCCAGTTTGGCAGCCTCCCCCCGATGGGAGGGGAAGTAGTTGCTGGTGTCACAAGTGCCACCGTTAAAGAGCTCAAATTTCAGGGACATCAAGATCCAAAAGCAACATATCAAAGCGCGTCTCCTTAAACGCGCCCAGAAGCGCAGACTGGGCTTTAAAAAGGAGACTACTGAGTGTCATTACGGTGGAGTCACGTCTCTCCGCGCAGTGCGTCATGCGCACTTGTTTTGTGGGGATCGTTGGTCAGTTTGTGGGAGCGCTGCGTGTGGGAGCGAGGGGACGAGAGGAGATGACTGCTACCACCCTCACTTCTCCACTGAGCCCTCAGGAGAGAGGAGGGAGACGGCTGCGCGGCGGCACAAGGAGCTGAAAGAAACGCATCCGCGCGCAACAGAGAAAGGACCAAGAGGACGTTGAGAACTTTGACCACTTGTGCGCCTTTACGCTCCGGGTTTTTAACGTTGCGGTGATCAGAAGCCTGCTATGGAGGACGTCGTGAACCAAAATGAGTTTGAGCACTGACAATGTCACAAACTTGTGGAAAAATGGTTCCTCGGAACTCGACTGGGACTCTCTGCAGATCAACTTCACCAACAGCTCTGGGAGGAACCGCACGGAGTTGGTCCTGACCCGGGCCATCCCGCTCGGGTTGGTGCTGGGGGCTTTCATCGTGTTTGCCATCGCGGGCAATATCCTCGTCATCCTCTCCGTGGTGTGCAACAGACACCTGCGGACCCCCACCAACTACTTCATCATCAACCTGGCCATCGCCGACCTGTTACTGGGCACCACGGTGCTGCCGGTGTCCGCCACCCTGGAGATCCTAGACCGCTGGGTGTTCGGCAGGATCTTCTGTGACATCTGGGCTGCGCTGGATGTGCTGTGCTGCACCGCGTCCATCATGAGCTTGTGCGTAATCTCCATCGACCGTTACATCGGGGTGAGCCACCCGCTGCAGTACCCGGGCATCGTGACGGAGAAGCGCGCTCTGCTGGCCATGCTCGGGGTGTGGGTGCTGTCTGTGGTCATCTCCATCGGACCTCTGCTCGGATGGAAGCAGCCGCCATCCCCAGACGACACGGTGTGCCTCATCACGGAGGAGCCGTTTTACGCGCTCTTCTCCTCCCTCGGCTCCTTCTACATCCCGCTCGCCGTCATCCTGGCCATGTACTGCCGCGTGTACGTCGTCGCCAAGAGGACCACTAAGAATCTGGAGGCAGGTGTGATGCGCGAGAGGATGAACACCAGCGAGCTGACCCTCAGGATCCACAAGGGGTCCCAGGTGCACGAGGACCCCAGCGGTCCAGGCGCCGGTAAAGGCCGCGCGCACCAGGCGAGGAGCTCCCTCACTGTGAAACTTCTGAAGTTCTCCCGGGAGAAGAAGGCCGCGAAAACTCTGGGAGTTGTGGTGGGAATGTTTATCCTCTGCTGGCTGCCCTTCTTCCTGGCCTTACCCATAGGTAGGTTCAAAGGTCACAGAGCTTCCACTGTAATTGAAGCTTAAACACACACAGTTCTTTGCACACTGACATTTAGGACGTTATTGGTTAATTCGATTTGGAGAAGAGTCGTTACATTCTGTGGGAAGTTTGATCTTATTTATTTATGTGTATTATAATAAGGTTTTATATGATAATATGGCCCAGTTTCTATTATTAGTTTAGTTGGATTTTTGTAGTAATTTAAAGGATGGAAAAGGTTCTAATCTGCACTTGTTCCAGTGACAGCATGGATATAAGATAGTTATAATAACACCAGGTGTGTTTAACGTTGTGACCAAATATGATTTTAGGAGTTTTTTTATTTTTATTTAACTTTATTACATTTTTGTTGGTGGCTAACCCTAACCCATCTACTGAGTGTTTGACCAAAACGTCAAAGGGTTAGTAACTGTAAAGCTTTAAGGGCTAGTCGTCCAGTTCAGGGATCTTAATCAGCGATGACACACTTTGGGGAATTTGAGGAGGAATTCTTTGCAGGCTTATCCAAACAGTTGCTGTTATCTTTCCAGTATTCCCTCGGTTTCAGTTCATCTGTGTTTGGATCTCTGCTGTGGTCTCATCCAGGGCCCGCCGACCCAGCAATGACTGCACGCTGCAGCGGGTCTGGTGAAAACCTGCAGAGGAAATTGGACAATATGTTGCAGATAAATGCTCGAGCTGCAAGAGGTTAAGAAAGCAGGAGCAGGAGGCAAAAACCCAAATACTCACTGAACTCTCATTGTGAATTTAGCCCGATTCTTTAACCCCTCTGGGAAATGTCGGCACTTTTGTGAATGTGTGTTGTGTGTGTGTGTGTGTGTGTGTGTGTGTGTGTGTGTGTGTGTGTGTGTGTGTGTGTGTGTGTGTGTGTGTGTGTGTGTGTGTGTGTGTGTGTGTGTGTGTGTGTGTGTGTGTGTGTTTCCATTATGGTACTGTAGAAGTGTGTTTATGCCCCTGGCTTCAAGCTGCAGCTCATCACGTCCTCACACATTTGTCCTCGGGGAGGAGAGAGTCTCACAGCAAGGATTATTTAGCCTCCAGGCATTTTTAGACACTAAATCTAATTTATCCAAATTTAAAAATCTGAGAGGCATTAGAGGACAGATTTACAAAGGGAGGGGGGATCAACAGGAGGGGCCTGATTATGCAACACTAGAACAAACTGCCAAGAACACACACACACACACAGAAACACACACACTCATGTGTAGAATACTGATACACTGGGACAAAGCTCCATACTGGCTCATTTTATGCACATTTTAAACAAGGTGCATGAAGGAAACCTAAACAAGCTGAGAAATCTCCTTGACAGAAGGAAATTGCTGTGGTTTTCCTCAAAACAGGAAATTTAAATTCATCTTTCCTCTAAAACTTTTTCCAGACAAGAATTGTTGTTCTGTCTTCTTTAAATTTGCACCAGCAGGTCTTCTGTGGGAGTTTGATCTAAGCTGTGAACAGCATAAAACATAAAAGTTATGAACAGAATCAGTGGCAAAGGGCAGCCTTGGCGGAGTCCAACTCTCACCGGGAACTAACCTGACTTAATGCGTACCAAGCTCTGACACCGGTCATACAAGGACCTAACTGCCCGTATCAGAGGGTCTGGTACCCCATACTCACAAAGTACCCCCCAAAGGGCCCTCGGGGGATGTGGTCAAATGCCTTCTCCAAGACCCTCCAAGGTCGTTCTAAATAGCGTATAGAGCTGGTCCAGTGTTCTGCAGCCTGGACAAAAACCTCCTGAATCCGAGGTTCGACTATCTGATGGACTCTCCTCTCTAGGGGCCTCATTCATCAAACCTTCATAGAAATATTCCTAAATTTGTTCATATGAATGAAATTTAGAATGTTTTTACAACAGTTCAAAATCCTGATCCATGAAACATGCGACGGCCTCCCGTACGCACGTTCCTCCGCACTCGTCTGATGACAAATCCCCCGTGTGCGTGCCCAGGTGCTTGTGATTGTTCTCATCATTTACATACAGCAACGCCCTCAATTAACCATGTTTGGTCACGTTACGTCCTCAGCTCATGAGGGAATTCCTTGCGTTCTGCCCGGAGAAAAAGAAAGCTTGCGAGGTCGAGACACTTTCTGCCCAACTGCAAACGAACCAAACAAGTTGCAGAGGTTATAAACGCGGTTGGGACACAGGAGAGGTTCCTGCCAGGAATAAATAAAAACTTTAATACGATAAATCGTAGAGTAACGGGCTGTCACTTACATTTTACATTTAAGGATTCTGGATGGTGTTCGTTTTATTTTGAAATGTGTGAGTGCAGCCTCTTAGCTGTCATTCAGTCTGGTTACCGTGACAACGCGTGTGTAATCGGGAAGGAGAGGAGGTTCTGGAGGATTCTTGTTGCTGTAAAATAAAATACGAACTGGAATCGGATTTGTGTGGTTTATCTGTCGCTCCAAGTAAGTACGATTGATGAATGAGGCCCCAGAACTCCTGACTAGACTTTACCAGGGAGGCTCAGTGTTCCCCCTGTTGTTGGAACACATCCTGTGGTCCCCCGGTTTAAATAGTGGGACCACCACCCCGGTCTACCAATCCAGTGGAACTGACCCCGATGTTCACGCAATGTTGCAGAACCGCATCAGCCAACACAGCCCTACGACATCCAGAGCCTCAAGGAACTCCAGTCGGATCCCATCCACCTCAGAAGTTTTGACCACCTCAGTGACCTCAGCTGACGAGATTGAAGGGCCAAACCCAAAGTTCCCAGATTCTGCTTCCTCACTGCAAGACGTGCTGGTGGGATTGGGAAGGTCTTGGAAGTACTTTACTCACTGATCCACAACGTCCTGAGTCGAGGTCAGCAGCAAACTGTAAATATTGTTGGTAATTTTAGTTAAAAAAAATCACATAAAAATAATAATGTATTAACAAAATATTAATTAGAACGATTCGTCTGAGTTTAATATGCAGGCTGAACATGAAAGTAGTCTCCTGCACCGATCTCCTGCATTAGCTTCGGATAGACAAAAGACGATGACACTAGGATTAGAAGATCCCGACAGATCTACGTCACACTGTCACTGAACATTCATGGACTCACCCATCTCGACTTGCAACGGGGTAGGCTGTTGTTGTTTCAGCGTCCAGGAAACAAGTAGAAGCTAACCATCAGCATTAGCAACTCCACCACACAGCAGAACTCCTCCAGGCTTGTGTTATATGTGGCTGAATTCTCCATGCCGGAACAGACAGTTGTTTCCCCAGGCCTTCAAGGCTTTCATTCCTACTAGAGACCACTGCAAATGTATTAAAAACACGAGAAGGACCTCTTTAAAACTTCACCTGAACAATCTCTGAGAACACAAGCTCCATTTTTACACCACACCTGGATTCAATTTTAGCTTTAATGCATTAAAATAGTGAATTCCAGTTTAATCTGGTTCAATGCATCTCAACCCTAGAGGTTAGATTCCTAATCGGGCTGCATTACATACATTAATGGTAACATTTCACCAGAAACCTTAAGGGAACCGACTGACTTTAATCATCTTGTTGTTCTTTTTTCTCCAGTTTCTGTTCAGAACAGAGCCCCCTTTAGCTGAAGGGTAAAACCCATCCAACACCCAACACGTTCAGCAACAAGCTTCACCTCCCGGTGACCGCCACATCTCCCCAGTTTTTAATGCTCAGTTTTAGATTTTCCATCCAGCGTTCTTATTTTTTAAGTCCTTTGGCTGGTCGTTTTAAAAACTCTGCCAGATTTTTCCAGAGGCATCTAGCGTTAAACACGTTGTCCTTTTTAAAGATTTTCTGTTATCTATTACGTTGGTTTTTCAGCCAACTTTTCTCTCTGGTGAGCAATCATGAGTTGGCTAATTACCCCGTTTTACGTTTTACTTCATGTTTTTAATTTAATCTTTTTAATTTGGCTAAGCCAGAATCACAGACTGTTTTTCTTTTCTAACTTCAGTAAATAAAGGAGAGTTTATTAACTAAATTGTTTACATTTTCTAAAATCTTATCAGAACCTAACCCAGGTGTACCATCTCTCTGCAATGTGCGTGCTTCTCAAAAACAGAAAAGAGAGAAAATGTTGTTGTTGTTTTTTTGTTGCAACATTTAGAATTTTGTTGATTTTTTATTTTAAAAAGTATTACCCAACATAAAACAAATATTTAAAAAAATACATGATCTCTTCTGCATTTCTAGATAACATTTTAATAGCTTGTCAAAATTGTTGCCAATGAACTTCTTCCACTAAATATTTAGAAGAACCCGTTTTCCATGAAGAGAAAGAAAAAAATAAAGTATTTTAATGTAACATAAGAAAATAGAAACACTATGAGACGATTGACTAAAACAGGCATGTCAAAGTGTGGCCCGGGGCCATATGAGGCCTTTAGAATGATTTTGTGTGGCCCCTGATTGCATCTCTAGAATGTAGTAAGTATATTTTATTTATTTAGCACTCATCACAGACATAGGATCACAAAGTGCTTCACATGGATCAAAACAAATATAACATAAAGTCATAATGATGTCAAAACAGAAATAGATTAACATCAGAAAAAATAAAGTCATAAAATTCAAAAATTTCATAAACAGATGAAAGATTTGAGTTACAAATAAGAAAATTCAATTAAAGATTTAGGTCAAAGTAGCTTTAAATAAAAGGGTCTTTAGCTGTTTGTTTTGCTACGTAAGGATAAAGGAAGATCGTTCCAAAGTCTGGAAGGAGCGATCACCTCGAATGCTGACTGTCTCTCCGGCAGGCTGGTGATGTAACATGACACTCAGATGTGTCTATTTTGGACATATTTTGAGGATTACAAGTATTTTTAATGACCATAAAGTAGTGTTTGTATTATTTAACTTAAACAAAGTTAAAAGTTTGAGGCCCACAAGGATTATTAACTTAAATATTTTCATCCTCGCCTTTGAAAGCTTGGACCCGGACAAAAGTAATGACAACTCCACCATTTCTCAGCGCTTGCTGATTTTAGTGTAATTC